CAAACCAATAGTTCCCCATTTCTCCTCAAACAGACAATCTTTCTTGCAAAAAGTCATCAGTCCGTCATTTATGGAAGAACATTTAACACAGAAGTGTGCAAATGGATTCCATTGTCACAGAAAACGTAACGAAATCGAGCAGCAATACATGCAAAACATAAATAAAAACACAGATTTGATGTAAAGTGCAGGTGTGAGCAGAGCATAAACGTCCTAAAACATCCCGGAATTGTGTTTCCCAACGATGTAGACCACAGGATGTTCCATAGTGTGCAGCTCTGCGAGAAAACGTGGAAGCCGTTGTCCAGGCTGAAGAAAGGAGAAAAGAAAACGAAGAATGAAACCCTATTTCTAGGGACTTTTAACACTAGTGCTTAGACCTGAATGCTGGAGCTGGATATTTCAACTAATACCACACACACGTATTCCAGAAATAGAGATGGTACAGAGACCGCAGGAAATCATCAGCTGTACAGATAAAACGTCTGAAGAGGCGCAGTTTGAGGTCAGCACACAGGAAAGAACGTTTACATTATGCCCAAAGACTAATAATTCCTTTTTTGGGACTCCTAAAAATGTAAACAATGCAACTAAGGACAAAAAAGTCAGCTCGTCAAAAATGCAGAATTACTCCGATAGCTACTCACAATTACAAAAAGGATAGCATCACTATAAATGTAGATAAAGGAGCAAAAGTATAGGTATCCACAAGGAACACACAACAGCAACAACACAGAAAATAAATACCTGTTGATTTGGTACAATGAATCCTTGCAGTTGGTATATACAGATCTCACTCCTGTCTGTTATGGCTACTGCCACCTGCTGGTAGAAGTGGAATTAAAACCCGAGTTGCGCCAGCAACGGTAAAGGTCACATTAAGGGATGTCCGTTTTTTTCTGTTTCACCCTCCACTAAAACTACAGAATTTCACTTCATTCCATGATTTGTTAGTGTAAGACAGTGCCTGAGCCCAGTGGATCTGTACTCGCAAGACATCTTGTGGTCCATGTTAAAGGCTGCTATAACTAGAGCTAGGTCTTCACTCTGTGGTGTTGAGCCCAATCAACAAGCAAGAAAAGGAAAGTGCATCATACCACCCAGACTACTGAACCCAGCTGTGATGACACTGTCAAGTCAATCACGAATTGTAGCCCTAGGCAGCATGTCACCTTAATGTTTTGGCATTTTAGTGCAATAATAATAATCATCATAATCCCTTAATGTGATATAGTATAGCAGTTTTCCAATCAAAGTACTTTTCAGGTAATGGTAACTACCCTCCACCACCACCAATGTGTAGCCCCCAACTGAATGATGCAAAGTGCGCTAGTACACTCACTACACATCAGCTAGCAGCGAGGAGGAAAAGAGTCAGAAGCTAATTGATAGATGGAGATTATAAGGAGGCCATGACTTGTAAAGGCCAGGGGGGGAATTTGGCCAGGACACCGCTACAACAATAATATTATTACTGTATAAAAAGGATAATATTTAATAATAATAATAAATCCTTAAACTTATATAGCACTTTTCTGGACTCTCCACTCAAAGCACTTTACAGGTATTGGAGTCTCGCCTTTTATTATCCTTTTTATACAGTGTCACCTTAGTTTTAAAATAGTGTTACAAATGAAAGAGAGAATTTAGGAAAATACCAGAAATAGACAGAGTGTGTCTATTTAAATAATCAATAATTACAATAATCACAACCCCCAAACTGTAAAAAATATGCCAAGAATATATCTGACCACCCCACCTAGCTATAACAATGTGACCATAATTCGGATGAGAACTATACATTTTCGGCACTAGGTTATTTGAAATCGTCACAAAATGTCAAAACGCACTTTTCCCCCAAAAAATCAACAAATGAAAATGGAAAGAATTGTATTTCTGATCAGGTTGACTTTGCAAAAAAAACTATTCTTTTGGATGCATAAAAATTATGTTAGTGGTGTTATCTTATCCATATCTGTGTAATTCAGCTGCATCTCTGCTACAATATTACTGTAAGCAGCAACAATCAAGTCAAACTTATTCAAATGAAGGAATGGGGGAATGGTATTCCTGTTCTCAACTGAATGTCTCATTTCCTGGCTCACCTGATACGGCTGGATGAGATCAATGGATCAATTAGATTCTTACCAAACAGTCAAAGGGTGCTGAATTCCTTTTGTTTTAAACCTTCCTCTCTCCATTTGAAAGACAGCAACCTCATTTTCCTTACAGGCTCAAGAGCAATCAAGGTTGTGTCAGAGGCAACTGCTGAAGACCGTATAACGTGCTCTATCTCAGCAAGTGCCAAGATTGTAGACCCAGGACCTCTGTCATTTACAGTACAGGCCAGAGCAGGGTACAGTTTCTCTCTGCAGAAATGTAGGCACCCCCTACAGCACAATGTCCCTGGTTTCCATATTTTACATAATTGGTGTGGCGGTTCTAGTCCAGAGGAAAGTGTTCCACCTACTGGTCCACCAACACTGCTTGTGTGGCAGCAAACTGGATTTCCTTGTACTGTAGGTCTCCAATCCCAGAGTGGATCAGGCCCAGCCTTGCTTTGTGATATAATGAGATTAGGTAACAAAGTGTAGTAGCACTGCTGATAAAATAATAACTTCCGTGAGTTCTGGAGGTTCAGTTCTGACTATAATAAGTTTTAAAAAAAACATATTAATGAATAATAAACAGTGGAAAGAGCGGAGAAGGCTTCACAGCGTAAACGTTATTTTTGCCTGTGTGGAATTAACCAC